TAGATACACTTGCACATTACATGTATGTAAATATCTACTAGAATTCATTTATACATATCATTATGCCAAATTATATATTAATGCATGTATTTACAGGTTTTTTTTTCTATACAAGCAGCAAAGATAGAGATATGTATCTTACCCATTTTGTCAGCAGATTGTTGGAAAGAGATAATAATTTTGAGGACATATAAAGATAAAGTCTAAAGTTCATGGAAGTATTCAATGTAATTAAGTTCTTCTAATTAAAAGTTCTAGTCTTATATGAATAATGAAACTACAATTTAATACAAGAGTTGGCAAGTTCCGCTCACAGTACCTTGTAGATATGGACTAAAAAGGACAATCCCAATAAAACAAACAAAAAGATTAATACAAATTGGTGAAATTCAACTTTCTCTACACTTAAGTTTGACAAAAAGTAAACAGAAGGTTTGGTTCTGGTATGTCAGTTTGGACAATTTTAAATAGAAAAACAAAATGTCCACTTATATGAGTGCTCTTCAGATGTCCCTATATTTTATTTGAAATATGTTGACAAAAGCTCAGAAAGACTCGGAACAAATGTTATGCTATGTCTGTACGTAGTATCCAGCAAAATCTTTTCATTTCGATATATCAAAAATCTCACTGTATACATCGGGGCACTGTTTCATGAATCAGTCCTGAGAACAAGTTCACTGAAATCCCATTGTGTTAAATTTGATACACACGATTCAATGGGTTGGCGGTGAACTTGTACTTAGGATGGTTTCGTGAAACGCTGCCTAACCTTTCCCAATATCTTCTGGACAGTTTCTTTACAATGTAATCATGCAAGTACTCAATTCTATGTTTAAAGAGGAGGTTGAGTTTGGGGGAGAGGTGAAAAATGATTTGTGAGCATTATCATTGTTATTATGCAAGTGTGGAAGAACATCAGAGAAAAAATGTTCCCTGAAAAGCTTGGCTCTTCAAATGCCTTCATTTTCCAAATATGACAAGTAACGGCTTAAAATGAGGCCCGATTTTTATGCCACATGTTTATGTAGTCCTATATACATCTTTCTGTGTACAGTGCTTGTTACATTACCAAGGCTAGGCCAAATTTCTTATTATTTTGATGACTCCGGAACTTTGCAGTACACACCAATACTTATATGTTACTGTCTACATGATCAAATTTTTCTGATCAATTCCACACCGTTTTGTTCACAATGCAATCACATGACCAGAACTCAACTTTATCTTCAAGTGCACGTTCCATGAATCTAAATTAACACCAGTCTATGATAAAAATTAGTTGGTGAAAATAGTCAAATTTGACTGGTTGCCATATAATGCTGAATATAACAATAACAACAACAAACTTTCAGTTTTAGAACTTGTACTTGTCTGTACAGACACGATACAAAAGAATATGAATTGCCATCCTACATCAATCTAACATAATCTGGGAAATTGCTGAGCACCAACATGCAGTTGCCTAATCACAGGTTTTGCTAAAACAGAAAATAGATCAGATCTATTTCATGATTCTTAAACATAAATATATCCATTAAATAAAGATAATGTACTACAGTCAAACCTGCTTGAATGACCACCTGTCTACAAAGACCACATAAAATGGTTTCTCATTCAAACGTGTACATGTACTAAAAGGAACCTGTCTACAAAGACCACTTTTTGTGTTTCCCTTGGGCGGTCGCTATAGATGGGTTTGACTATATTAATAACTTAAGATTGCATTTCTTGAACACTTACTGGTACTTGAAAAGTAAGGATCGAGACAAATTTGAATTTCATTACATCAAAATGGATGGATATATTAAATTCCCCCTAACTGCCTTCCTCATGCAGATTCCACAAGTGACATATTGTAGAAACTGCCACCAATTGCGTTTATATGTCAGTATTAGGAATCTTCATTCAGATGGTACATGAATATTTTGTTTTGTAAAACTCTAATTCCCCTCAAAATTGAACATGTTTTCCTGGAATATGGCCAGGTATAAATGTTTCCACTAATAAGTCAGATATTATACTTGTGTAATGAATGAGTCCTTCCTTAATATACAAGTGCTGAGAAAGGTCATATACAAATACATAACATGTTTTCAACCAAGATTAAACTTGCCAAATATTCCAAATTGCATGAAAAGTGAGGTTAAAACTCATGTAACGATAACACTCCACTAAAGGCTGGTTCAGATACGGTGCGGTAAACCACCGACCAAAAAAACAAGATGCAGTTTTTATACGTATAAAATTAATTGCAACTGCGCGCAACAAACATGCTCTGTGTCATCAGATTCAGAAATGTGAAGTGTACTAAACTTTACGTCATCATAAAAAAACTTGTGGTCTTGCCGCATCATATCTGAACGAGCCTCAACTGTTTGATGACATGGAAGGGTGGTATTGGGAGAGATGAGAGTCCTGTGGTACAGTCAATTGACAATCAAAGAGGAGTTTCAGGGTTCAAATCCCTGGTGCAATTTCAATTTATATGATCATTTGTCTCTCTCAACCTAAGGTTGTTTGGAGTTAGTACCTGATAGCATTAAAGGTAAAGACCAGTTTTGGAAACGTCCCCCTCTCAAAAAATGAAATGGAAGCTCTTATTACCAATCATGTGAAAGAATATGTTTTAACCTAATACGTGATCATACAAATTTTGCCAAGAAACCGCCTACTAATTGATATATTTGGTAAATTATTATATCTACGGTATTTGGACCTGATAGATATAACGCAAGTGTTGCGCATGTGCCGCGCATGTGTGCATAGTCCCATATACATCTTTCTGTGTACAGTGCTTGTAACTTTACCAAGACTGGGCTAAATTTCCTATCATTTTGATGATTCTAGAACTTTGCAGTACACACCAATACAAATATGCTAGATGATCAACCTTTTCTGATCGATTCCACAACGTTTCTTTCACAATGCCATCGCATGACCATAACTGGTCTTTATCTTTAAGTCCTTGCACCGCCAATTAAATGGCTTCCACAGCTTAAGCCACAGTAATAGCTTTCAAAGCAATTCGGGAATGCCTAGCTTATTTAATTGCTCTACATGCTTTACATGTAATACAAAAGTGTCATGTTTTATATGATAATAAAAATTGCAAAACATCATGGAATGGTTTTTAATATCTTCCTTGACCTTCTATTAGCTGACTCAACTTCTCTTCTTTGACTTTTCTGATGTGAAGAAGCTGAAAAGAAGAAGGGGAAATATTATTGCATGATGTGAGGAATAAAGAGATAGGGCTTGATTGTATACAACTTTATATCAGTGCCAAGTTACATTAGCTACATGCACACAGATCCATGGTATTTTCAAACTTGAAGTTAGCGAACCTCAAAGTAAAAATTAAAGACGCACTAACAACGACGAGGGTTCTCATGGGGACAAATATTATTTACGAACCCCTTGAAATTTGAAGCATTGAGCCAAGCTTCGTAACCACAAATGCATCCTCAATGTCCCTAACTACAAGAATACTTCAAATCTTATAACCATGACCTTAACTCCGAGTTAATAGCTGATTGTGTGAACCTCACTTATAACTGTTACTGGCTATTGCAATGTCAAATCTAAAATGGCTGTGAACAAACTTGTTATAGAATTGTGCCACATGTTATTCATATCTGGTTTATGGAACGAGACCAAGGTATTACTATGTGAGAAATAAAAAGAGAAAAAATGTTTTTTTTCTTGTATGGTAGGTTACATAATAAAAAAAAATAAATAAAAAAAAACTATATTAGAATCATGATATCAATCAATGATACAATAATAATAATAATCATAATAATATTTAAAGTCCACTCCAAATTTTATTAAGTTAAACCGAAAATGGAAATTCTTTTTGCCCAATTGATCGTGAGCCCGGCAGCCACTGAGCAGCGCCAAATCGACGTTGCTCTATCCCTTATTGTTGAACGCCAAACAAGGTAGCAGCAACTCCCGTCTTTTAACGTCTTTTGGTATGACGCGGCCGGGGTTCGAACCCACAACCTCCCGGTTGTGAGGCAGACGCTCTACTGACTGAGCCATCACACCATATCTCTGAATATTGCATAGTTCATACCAAACAAAATATGAAGTACCGGTATTTGGCATATTACATCTTGCTGTAAGTGATGAAATACATTAACGGGAAATTGTAAACATACCGTATTACAAAACATTGTTCTTGTGGCAAAACCCCTTTATCAATTGATGACACAAATTTTAAGAAAAATCTGGCTTGCTCAAGACTGATTGGGAGAATCTTGTACGAGTCTTAATGCCCCACTGTACTACTTGTAGCTACTTGCTCCCTCTATATAGAAAACAATGCATAATCGGTGACCATTGGTCCCCCATGATCCTCTTTTTCTTATGTTAATTGAGAGCTGAGTTGAAGAGATAGCCACCTGTCAGTGATCTCCCTGGGTGGTCTAATCCCTCCTGGCCAAACTAGTACAGACGGCCTTTAAAAATTAAAGTTAAAAAAGAAAAAGCCTTGGACTTACTTTTCTTTGTTCACTAAACAGCTTCAAGAATTCATCAAGCGTGACCTTATCTTGTAAGAACCTCTCAGCGAGGTCATCCGATTGGTGCTCGGCATCAGCTGCTGATACTCTCATATTATCCATCAGGTGAGAAAGAGAGCATTGCTGAAAAATAGCAGGTAAAGGGCAAACGATCATCACCTAGGTCAGGCCTAAAATACAAACTTGTTGGATTGCCCTTTGCGACCCAAAAATCTGAAAATCTATGGTCAGATGCACTCAGCATCAGCTGCTAACAATCAATCATGTATATTCCACCAGGAAAAAAACAGTTTCTCAGTTTAAAATTTAGAGATCAAGATTCTACTCTTGTTTGTATAAAAAATTATACTCAGACGACTGTGTAAGACTAAAGTTGGTTGTGAATTCATAAGAAATTTACATTATTTAAGAGGGAAATTTATTTGTACAGCTGCAAACATACTCTGTAAGACAAAGATCTCCCTACATGACACGATTTGGTATAAAATCACTACAGTATTTTTACCTCATTTAAGCTCTGTTGCTGGAGACATTTCATGTCAAAGTTGTTTTTAAGATCATTCCTAAATTTGACAGTTTCTTCCACCTCTCTCCTGAGTCTTTCTATCTCTGGTTGGTAGCTCAGGTTTAATTCTAAACAGAGAGAAAAATACAAATGAAGTAGTGAAATAACTTATACAAACAAAAATCATAGGAACACCATACCATGTATCAGGATTAGCATAACAGCTAATTTAAACTGCAAAAATAGCTATTAAAAAAAAAATGTTATTCTTATGTGAGCACACAAAACATGATCAACATCCATCCATCCAATGCAAGATGCAAGATCTAGCCTCGGGGACAAATGCTCTCAGATCTTTGTGATTATAAAAGATGTTCCATTGTCTGTTCCTTCCTGCAACCATACCATCCGTCCATACTCATAGCACCTGCTTAATATCATAGGCAGATATATCATAACCTTGACATTATCAAAAATATATATTAGGTGTACAGTCAATAACATTTGGGCTCGGTGAATTGGCTTAGAAATAGCATCAGCTGGCAGTGCAATACGAGTAACCAGGCTGGTTCATGTTCAATGCTCATACATCTATATGTTGAAGCTGCAAAATACCTCCTAAAAATGCCTCCTAAAAATGCCCCCTAAAAATGCCCAGTGAGAATTATCTAGGTGCTCTCTGACGACCGATGACACTAACCCTTTTATAGAGCAGAGTCAGATGAAAGGTGGGGAAACAAAAAGAGCAAAGTCAGATGAAAGATGGGGAACAAGAAGAGCTGACTCACTTGCTATTTCTTCACATGACTGATAAAGCTCTGTACGATCTATGTGCATCTTAGACAGCTGAGGAACATTTCTAAAAATCACATCTAGCTTGTCGTCATCCTCTATCAGGTCTTGAAGCTGCTCTTTGGTGTAGTCTTTGAATAAGTCATTAAATGAAGGAGGGATAGCTGGCATATTGTAGTGATGGCCATCATTCTACAAAAACAAAACAATACAAAATACTCTCATCATCTTCCATTTTAAAGTAAAAAGCAAATATTTGTACAACTATGTAATATCTATCTAGTGAATCATTGTAAAGATCTTAAAGGTTTATGGTTATATTATATGTACTATAGATCAGAATGTGGGAAGAATAAAGACAAAGTGAGTGTGAATTAGCTCCAGGACTAAAACAAAATAAATAAATAAAAAAGGGCACAAAAATGTTACTTCTATAGATACAATAGAGTACCAAAACTGTGACGTCATAAAAATCTATTTTTGGAATTTTTCAATTTTTTCTTCATTTTCCGAAAGAGCACCAAAAATAATGTCCAAATGTCGAAACCAATTGAAAATGTTAAGTATTGGCTACGATATGATAATGAACATCTGAATAAATATATTTCCTGTAAGACCTCAGTGTTATTTGCTCTGGCTCGTAATGGTTAGGAGTCAGGGGGGTGTTTCACAAAGATCCTAAGTTGAACTTATCTCTTAGTTGGACTTAAAAGTTATGGAAAGCCATTAGCATCCTTGAATATATTTTGTAAAAGTTATTTTAAAAGGCATAAAATGTTGATTCAAATCATTTATATTTTCTATTATCATGAAAAATTTCATGTTCTTGATGTGGAATTTATGAAAAGTCTAAAATACTTCAATTTTTGCTTTTTAGTATATTTCATTTTAAGGCTACAAATGGCTTTCCATAATATTTAAGTCGAACTTAGAGTTAAGTTTGACTTAGAATCTTTGTGAAACACCACCCCAGAGCAAATAACACTGAGTTCCTATAGGAAATATATTTATTCAGATGGTCATATCGTAGCCAATACTTAACATTTTCAATTGGTTTTCAACATTTGGACATTATTTTTGGTGCTCTTTCGGAAAATGAAGAAAAAAATTGAGAAATTCCAAAAATAGATTTGTGATGACGTCACACTTCACCACTCTAGACACCTTGACCAAGATGTGGCAATGTTAGGCAATTTTCAGGTAAGCAATCAGTTCATTAACAGCATCTCTGATCTTCGAAACCACCCAAATGTTGCATTTTGTGTTTCAGCTAGAGCCCAATAACGGTGCATTTGGTCACGATTGTCAAACATAATAGTTTTTAGCAATTCCTGAAAGATTATATTTTTTCTATGACATTTCAATACTTAGAAGCACAAAACAATCTACAAATGATATTTTGGCAGTGTTTTGTAGACCTACATGTATGCTTTTCTGATCTTGAGTTTGTTATAGTCAATTTGATTTACATATGAACCTAGGTAGTACTTCTTCTTCCTGAAAGTGCAGGCTTCATGAAATGAAGATTAAGGCATTTTGATCTCCTATAACTTTATAACAGAATTCATAAGCTACATGTACATGTACTAGTATATACTAGAACTACAGGTATAAACTGATAGGCTTTAAAGCCCCTCTGCACTGGTTTGGCATGAAGAGATTAGCCCTCAAATCAGCTCTCAATTAACATAAGAAAAAGGGCATCATGGGGGATCAACAGGAACCGCTTAGGCATTGTTGGCTGTATAGAGGGCGCAAGTAGCTATAAGTAGTGTAGTGGGGCTTTAAATGCCTTTTCTTTAAAGTAACATTCTTTGGGACTGGACAATCTTCTTCTTTTCTTTAAATTACAAACATCCAATCGTGATGATTAATATATCATTTTAAAAATACTATGTCCCTTTTGCAGCCAACATCAAATTCTGTAGAACTTTGCAGGAATTGTGAATATGTCATGTGCATTATGTCCTATCTGTGAAATTCAAACATAAGCAGTATCCTAGTATTGAAATTATGGAAAGAAACCCATTTACCTTCTAGACACTGTCAGACACTATTGAGTGAGTGACTGAAAATCTTTTTTTTTGGTGGTAATAACATACATGTTTATAAAATGAGCTGTAACAGGTACATGAGCATTTTTCTACATCAATAACCTACTACTTGTAATGGCAAAACTTAAACTGATTGAAACTTTGTGCAGCACACAACGTACGACCATTCGGTAAAAGGGTTCGAAAACTAGACTATTACTTAGGTGATTGCAATCACTTAAAGGGATCGTTTAACAATGTTAAATCTGAGATACACGGTCCTACATGTTACTAGTGTCTGTGATATGGTGTAATATTAAAGCCCTAAAAAAATCGCGCTACAAAATGATCAAGAAGTGCCTCAAAAAAGTAAAAATCTTTGAGTGACCGGTTTTACCATACTCGTTTTCCCAATAGACTGTAGTGTTATGAAAACCGTCCGGCGAACGGTTTTCAAAAATTGTTATTCCAATCATTAATATCTTGATAATCAGACAGGCGATCGGCTTGTAAAAGTCATGGAGTTCCTGACTGACCTAAAGGTTTATAATCATCATTGCAGCATGAGCTAAATCAAGGATTATTTCTAAAGGATCTAAGACAAAGTTACCGGATCCCTTTAAGTTTATTCGACAACTTATGGTCGATTTTTCCCCCTAAAAGCCATTTTCAAGCCCTTTTGTTTTGAGGGAAGTTCTAAATTAGTATTGTCTTTCAAATGCTGTTGGAATTTAACCTTTTCATTTTTGGGCCTGCAAATAAGACATAGTACCTTTAAAGCTGGAAAATCCCCTCTTTCAGAATCAGACCTAAACTAAGGAGGCATTTGTGGTTCTGTGGTGCTGGCTCACATATTATGATATACAGTGTACAAATAATCATCATATCGTATACTTTTTTTTCAATTTTCAATTCGATAGCATCTCAGTATAAAGGTTGATTAAACTTACCAGACCACGAATTCCTAACATACCAGGTACCGGTATGTTGGGTTCCACATCCAGACCATTCACAGGTGCCACTCTTGCAGATGATGATGCTGAAGATGTTGCTACTGGTACCGTTGATGTTAACGGATACGATGAAGCACTGGATGGAGGATGAGGGGCGGGCATCTGTGGTGTATACTGGTTGGGAGGCGTGGCTGTGGCCATGCTGGAGTGGGGCGTGGTCATTGAGGAGTGGGGCAGGGCCATGCTAGGATGAGGTGGAGTCATGTGTGGTGAGGAATGGTGTGGAGGTGTTGGTTGATGAGAGTGGGGTGGTGTCTGATGTTGTTGTAATGGATTGTGTGATGGTACGGGGTGTTGCAGGGGTGGCAGCTGTTGTTGTGTAGGTGTTGGCTGGGGCATGAAATGCTGGTACTGGGGTACTGTTGGAACCGCTCTTCTAGAAATGATCAAGAGAAAGGTGAAACATTAGAAACTATCATTCATATATATATGTTTCACAAGAGAAATCCTTGACATGATTTACATGAATACAACATTTACAATTACAGAATGGATTATAAACTTTACAGGAAAATATAATAGAAAGAGTGAAAACGAGAAAGAAAAGGCAAATAGGTCAGAAGATGTAAGATTGAACAAGAATGAGGAACAAGATTTGATATTAACTCACTGTTGGCTGGCATCTGGTTGGATGAACATGGGAGCTTTACAGAATTCTTGAACCATATTTTGAACCAGTCTTCCCAAGTCTGTTTGTACATTGAACTGCAGGAAAGAGTGTAAACTACATGAGCAACATATGGAACATCAACATGTGGAGTGGTATGTGCAGCACTTTGTTACTGCAAGGAATAGGTGCGAATGCAATTTGGGATTAGATTAGATTGAAACAATACTCAAACAGCCATATTGCCAAGATCATAACTGACCTGGGGGTGTTTCACAAAGATCTTAAGTTGAACTTATCTCTAAGTTGGACTTAACAATTATGGAAAGCCGTTTGCATCTATGACAATATTTTGTAAAAGTTATTTTAAAAGGCATGAAATGTTGATTCAAATCATTCATATTTTCTATTATCAAGGACATTTCATGTTCTTGATGTGGAATTTATAAAAAGTCTAAATTATACTTGATTTTTCACTTTTGAATATATGTTATTTTAAGGGTACAAATGGCTCTCCATAATTTTTAAGTTTAACTTAAAGTTAAGTTCGACTTAGGATCTTTGTGAAACACCTCCCAGGAGCGTAAAAGGGATTTCTTGCAAAAAATATGCACAGTAAAACTTTCCCTCAAAAGGATGATAATATGCCAGTGAATAATCTCAATCTTAAAGAGAAGGTTGAGTTCTGGGAAGAGGTGAACATTAATTTGTGAGCATTATCATTGTTATAATGCAAGTGTGGAAGTACATCAGATAAAAAATGTTCCTTGAAAGGCATGACTCTTCAAATGCCTCAATATATTGAATATGGCATGTAACAGCATAAAAATCAGGCATATTTTTATGCAAAATGTTTGTGCAGTCCTATTTAACATCTTCATGTGTACAGTGCTTGTAACTTTACCAAAACTGGGCCAAATTTCTTATCATTTTGATGATTCCAGAACCTTGCAGTACACACCAATACTTATATGCTAGCTCGATGATTAACCTTTCTGATCAATTCCACACCCTTTTCTTTCACAATGCAATCTCATGACCAGAACTCAACTCTATCTTTAAAATAGGTTTTGTTCCTCTCCAAGCATTCCCCTGAGATGCTGTAAAATTTGGACCAAGGTTAACAAACTATCTGATCAGAACTTTGCTCCCAATAACAAACCACATGAACAATCAAATCTGTATCTTTTCAGAAAAATTATCAGTAGGCCTTTAGAAAGTTCTAGAAAACAGATGAAAATGTTTTTTCTTCAAATCATCAAGCGCAGAAATGAAAACTTACGTTGATAAGAGGCAAGTATCGAACTACTTGCATGGATTCATCTAAGAAGCTGTAAAATTTGGACCAAGGTTAACAAACTATCTGATCAGAACTTTGCTCCCAATAACAAACCACATGAACAATCAAAACTGTATCTTTTCAGAAAAATTATCAGTAGGCCTTTAGAAAGTTCTAGAAAACAGATCAAAATGTTTTTTCTTCAAATCATCAAGCGCAGAAATGAAAACTTACGTTGATAAGAGGCAAGTATCGAACTACTTGCATGGATTCATCTAAGAAACCATGCCTCATTGGTGGGGCTACTGTGATAATTGGCTTTGTCTGTGGGAAATCAGCTGGCAAAGAACTACAAAAGAACAAAATGAAACTGAGAATTGATTTCAGGATACACCAAAAAGGCTTCATATGGGTTAAATACCAGTACATACAACACAATCTTTTTTTTCATAAAAAATGAAATGTGGATCTTAGTAGAATTATGATTGAATATGACATCAATTGTGAGGTTAAGTCTACATTTACTTGCATAAACAGGAAAAATGTATTCATTTATAGTTTTATACACATTGAGTTATAGTACATCGAGTACTGGGAAAATCCTAAAACTCTGATTTCAAATGCTCTAAAACACAACACAAAATGTCAAGATTATGCAAGGTAACTGCATTGGCTTTACATCAGTACTATTTGGCAAAGGCTTAGACATTTGCTCTTGAGTTGAACCTGCAATCAATAGTGATTAAATATCACTTCTATCACAGAGCCAGATTAAATTTAAGTGGTATTATCAAGTCACTATTGCTGGGAATGAGAATGGTTGGTATACATGGTAAAGAATGTAACAAGGTTCATGTTAGTGGGTGTAAAATTGTTTGCATTGGTTGGTACTTACATAGTAAATGTTACATGATTCACCCCACAAGTGAATCCAACTCTGTACTCCTCATCTCGCTTTAGCTCTACCACGCTGGAAAAAAAAATGCAAAAGTAATCGGAGCAAAATGACTGGCATCAGTACATCTTTACTCTTTGATGGGAACAAAGATGAAACAAGCTACCTTGTCATAAGACAACCCAAATTCGTTTTTTATTTCAATTCGATCTCATTTTAATTCGATCACAATGAAACCTTAAAAAAAAGGATGTTGTATTGCCCTTTAGTTGCCAACACATAGGTCGGTCAGTCGGAAATCTCTATATATTTTTTTTTCTCTCCCTCTTTGAGCTGATATTTCTCACTTATGAATGCTTTAAGGTACATTTATGAAAATTTAAAAAAATGACAATTTCAATACTGATACTAATTTACCCATTTTCCAAAACAAGAAGACATACAATTCATTTTGAAAAGGAAAAGAATTTGCAATTATCCCCCCCCCCCTCCCCCAGGTTTAAAGTTTAAACCATCCTGATGGATTTGTTAAACAGAGCATGACCTTACTTTGGATTAAGGGATCTTACTTTGGATTAAGGGATCTTACTTTGGATTAAGGGACCTACTTTGGATTAAGGGATCTTACTTTGGATTAAGAGACCTACTTTGGATTAAGGGATCTTACTTTGGATTGAGTGCTCTTAGAGAGTCTATCTGTTTGGATCGTTGAGCTTGTAGAGGTGTGACGGCTGGAAGATTGCTCTTGGGAGCACCAAATCCAGGGAACCAAGACATGGTCAAGAAAAGTTGGTTGTGATGCTTCCCAGAACTTGAGTTTCTTAGAACTTCTCAGCATGCAACTAAGTTTGCTGCAATGTCCAGACGATGGGTCACTGCTGTATCACTCCTAAAATTTGTAAAACGAAACAAGTGAAGAATTACATAACTTGTTCAGTCATTTCAGTGATCCGATATTACTCATATCTTATTCTTAATCAAAACTGATGAAACTGACGGAATATATTTGTCATTAAAAAAAATATCAAAACATTCATCAGACAAATTGAAAATCAAGGTTTCATGCGATATATTTTTATTTCAATGTTATTGCGAAATCTAAGTAAAAATTGTGGTTAATGTAAATAGTCTACTATACTACATGTTCAGCAAATTGACCTTATTGATGTTCACATTCATCTTCACGACATAGACTTCTGTGTTTATTTGCTCAAACAACGGATCACACTGGATGCCTCCGGAGGTTGTGCCATTTCGTGCTAGACTGTCTAGCGCGACTTTTACCTCGTGTTTGTGCTTTGTCCTTTGTGCCACGAGCGTTTAGATCTACAGTGGACAAAGGACGACACGAGGTAATCTCCGGAGGTTACCTCGCATTTTACCTAGATCTAAACGGGGTATAAGATTACAGTCGCTAACTTAACACACGCGCGCCCTCGCACTCGACCATCGGGACAGTATGTAGACTAATTCAATTGTAACGTGCTGCAGTTTGCCATGAATCCTGTGAGAAAGTGCATATTTTAAGTCTTCGTTTTTAGGAAAAGTACTCCAAAAAAGGGACGAAAATTGACAACGAAACAGGTAACAAACATATCGACTTTTAAATCATGACCTTTATTTGGACATTTGATAAATATTTACTTAATTTGGGGTATGCTTTAGTAGGGTATCTCCACGCCGGAGTTACGGGTCAAATTTTGGATAGATTCTAGACTTCTCTGAACTGAACTAGCGAGTTACGGGTCAAATTTTGGATAGACTTCTGAACTAGCGCCGTGATCTTTTTCATGACAAGTTGATACAATCATATAAATACTTAATAACTACTCACTTTGCGCCGTTGAGATGAGATTTTTATGGTAATAATTGCAAACCTCAGTTGCTTTTGAGTCGGGTCATATCATCACGTCATATCCAGAAAAAGATTTCCATATTCTGATATCCGAGGAAAAGTCGACTACTAAACACCTCGACTAACCCAAAGCGCGACCACCTATCCTTGATAGCTCGATCGTATGGGTTTAGGTTTAGACCCTAAACATGTCAAGTTTGAGTTCGTTGGTATATAGACGGGTATTTTTGTTTTGTAATATTCTTTATTGTATTCACTCAGTAAATAATATTAATTCATACAAATTGTAATATATAACATATTGGAACCAATTACAGAGTACAAAATACAGTAATCTCAATTATATTGAATGAATTAATATTGTTATAACCCTCTATATTTTGTTCTGTAGTACTAGTATCTCTATTACATATTATAATTTATAACATATTGGAACAAAGTACAGACTACAATCAACTTAGTTATATCGAATGAATAAAGTTTGTTATATCCCCTATCCCCGTTAAAAACAAAACCAACAACAACAAATACAAAACAAAAACAGAAAACAAAACAAAACAAAAAACAAAAAACAAAACAAAACAAAACAAAACAAAAAACGAAACAAGAAGACGTGGGCAGTCTATGGCAGTCGAGACCGGTCAATCACACACAGCTGTGAACCGAGCAGGCCCCCCCTTTCCTCATCCCTTGCATTTTCTTGCATATTGTCCATGTTTACCTTGAGATGTTCCCATTTTTTATAGTGGAGCGTCAACGTATTTCGTTCAGTAGCACTCTTTCTTTTTTCCTGTTTACTTTTGAATATTTTCTCTCTTATTTCTTCAATACTTGGAGTCTTCTTTTTTTCCCTACTAATAAATATCAAATATTTAATTAATAAAACCACGTGATTAATCATTTGCCTATCTTCGGTTATTTCGTCTAATCCAATGTGAACTTTCTTCCAGCTCATATCTTTAAGGATTGGAATATCCAAACTATCACTACATTGATCCCATAAAAAAATATGTGCCTATATATGTTTCCTCTTCTTTTCCACAAAATGAGCATTTATCACTTAATATAGACCAACGAATTTTAACGGATAACATATCGATCAGTCACATTCTCATGATACTGAATTCATTATTTCGATATAAATTGCCATTAAGAGCGGATATGATATAATTAAAAACGTTTTGAAGAGAGGAAACCAAAAAGTCATTGGTGGGCGGTATCTGAATTTCAAAGAGAAAATCACATTTCTAGAAAGTTCAATTTCTGCTCTTTCACTGCTCTTTCCTCAATCAGGAAAAATGAGCCAGGACTAACAAAGTTCTGTTTGTTTTAAGTAATGCTTGCATTTGCATAATTTGATTAACCTAGTTCATTTTCAATGGCTGCCTGTCGTAGCAACAAACGAAAAGGCAGAAATTGAACTTTCTGGAAACGTTATTTTCTCATTGAAATTTTACCGCCCGCGAAATGACTTTTTGATTTCCTCTCTTAATTGTTTTTTAATCACTCATGCGTAAAATATGCATCATATGAGTTGCATCAAATGAAAGAGGAAGATCTAAGCTTTACAAAAATTTGCCATCATAATTCCAATTAAGTTATGATAAAACGTCAATATTTTTCGTTTCGTTTTTTCTGGGACGCACTGTATATTTGATGCCAGTGGCAGATCTGGGGGACCGAGGGGCCAGGGCGGTATTCTGAACATTGTTGTAAGTTTTGTGTTATCTTTTGTTGTATCTTCCAGAGATAACACAGCGCTAATATTGTTGTAAGTTGGTATTCTGAACATTGTTTTATCCCTGTGTTATCTCTTGAAGGACCGCCTCTATCTTATCAGTTTGACCATTGATGACACGCCCATTTTTATGGACCCTACCAATCAAAATCTATTTTATATAAGCATGATAAGTAGGTCAACCAATAGGAATACTTTATGCCATATCTGAAGATGCGCCTAGCGCATACTAATCTTGGGCGTAATTAGTAATTGAGCGTGCACTATTACGCGCGTGGATCATGAAGACAAATCACGCTTTCACTATATTAGTTAATGAGAGCATTAAAATCGTCATATCCTAGCATGTAATATCTTAGAAAGTTCTCATCTGTGATGTTTCCGGTCAACACACAATCTTCTTCTAACTCGTATATTGGCACGAAGTTGGTTCTGGGCAAAAAATATTGCCGCGGCTGCCGCCATTATATCACCACGAAAGATACAACAACCCCCTACCCGTTGTAAATATTGTTGTAAATACCATGCAAGATAAGATAAGATAAAAGATACAACAACTTTCAGAATACCAATTATCTCGACATAATATTATCTCCCGTGCGCATATGCAAATGAGGATTAAATACCACTTATTAATAATGCGCACAATTACAAGCGCACCAAAGTATGAGCGCAGGCGCGGCCAATAAGATGAGAGAAAAGATACAACAAAAGATAACACAAAAGTTACAACAATGTTCAGAATACCAAATTTATCTTATCTTCAAAGATACAACAATATTAGAGATAACACAGGGTTCAGAATACAACCCTTGGGCCCCCTCTACTGGCAAAAACACAGGTAAAAACATGTTAATTTTACCCGTTTTTTTTTGTTAAAAAAAAAAGAAGAACTAGGACGGCCCCTTCCCCGGTTTGTTTGTGTGCTCAAATGGGAGGGGGGGGGGGTGGGTGTTGAGTTTAAAAAAAAACTGCTCACTACCCCCCCCCCCCCCCCCCCCCCCCCCCCCCTGAGTAAGTATTTTAGCGTCAACCACAAATATATTCAATCTTACCAGTTACATGGAGGAACGAGTTTTATCTTGCTCGAATTTTGGCTTGACGAGATTTAATTTAGGAAATGGGACATTTTGCATAGCTTCAGCTTTCTGTACTTCCGGTAAGCAAACATGCCCCCTAAATCGTTATATATCTGCATATTTTACTCCTGTAATGCTCTAATGTAGATATATATGTCTTACATAATATCAAATCCAACGTAATTATTTGAATACGTTCTTATCAGATGAGCAAATGGTTTATTTTGAAAGAGTTAATATTCCAAGCAGTCCCACATACTAAGAACCATGCACTGATGCAGTGTTTTTGTTTTGAATGTTATGATTGGTTTCGTATACGATATAGGCCTACTGGATTCAGGCCTACTAGATCTAGGTCTACCTAGGCATAGATTTCTAGTAGTATTCTTAGATTCTAATGCACAGTGGGTTTTTTTTTTACTGGGGGGGGGGGGGGGGGTAGTGTTTCATTTGTGGTCGCTAGTGCTAGAACTAAGAAGAAGCCAAGCCCAATTCCAAGAGGGACATGATCTACATTAGGCTTTAGTGAAACGGATTAGAGGAGAGGTGAGAGAGAGAGAGAGAGAGAGAGAGAGAGAGAGAGAGAGAGAGAGAGAGAAGAAAAAATACAGTAAGAGAGAGAGAGGGGAGATATATAGAGACAGATTCATAACTAACATACGAAGAAGAAGAGAAAAGAGGTGGGAATAGATAGAGAGGGAAGGAGGAGAGGACAAGAAATTAAGTAGGAATCAATTGAATTTGGGAATAAGGAACGGCAGCACTGTTGTTATGATGACCTCCATTTTAACTGGTGGGTGAGGTTATATAAATCTTCTCTTCTTCTTCTTCAAAATAATCTGCCATTCTGCCTCCTTCACTGCTGAAGATTCTTGCAGATGTGTGCGAGTGCATGTGTGTGGCGACATGTTTATAAAAATGTAATCTATGATTATGAAAGAAGATATCATATATTATAGTTATAGGCCTATATAATAATATAATACCCTACATTTTTAAAGCATTGATAATATAGCTGGAATTGATTCACTGTTCACCATTGTAGTGACTTGACCTTTGGAGAACTTTGCATTTGTAAATATTATTGTCTTGTCTTTATTGTGTGGCTTGAAGTCTAGCCTTTTATTCCATTGTCACTCATTTCTTTAGTGACACCTGTTGCATTACTAGAGTGCCACAAATACTTACTCTGGCAAGCACATTCCATACCCTATGGGTTGGGATGTGCAACCACCTAATGTACTGGTATAGCTTATACTGTACAGGAACATTACACTTGCTTGCTTTATTTGCCACACCTATTTTGATCACTTCTCCTGAGCTGTTCATATAGAGCACACGTATTCTAGAGAGTCTATCTACAGCAAAGCTAATTCAGCTTCATCTTAATTCTTGTCCTATTTCTTCGCTTGTTTCTCTACTCGGTTCTGAGGCCTTATTACTTTATAGAGATTATAAGTTTCTTCTTCTTTACTTAATTCGCGAAGAAGCGTCATTACTTTGTACATGGTCTTACATATTCTTTCTACGGGTGCTGTGCAATATTTGAACTACTACTTGTGATATAATATATGTTCCAAGTATCTGTACTCAACAGGTGTTTCTACGAGACAAGGTAGGAAAGAAATCTATTTCTATTTCTTTTATTTAGGTGATTTAATTCCCTAAACTGGTGACCCCGACGTGATCCAGATTTTTTTTTCTTCTGTTGATCTAATCTACCTTGTCATCGTCATTATCATGCCTGATACTGATAGCAATGTATTACCTAGTGAGGCTTCTGAGCCATCCCCTCAAGTCTCATATGTTAGTTTAAAGCTTCCACCATTTTGGGCACATGATCCTGATATTTGGTTTGCTCAGGTTGAGGCTCAGTTTCAAACTAGAGGTGTCTCAGTTGAGTCTACAAAGTTTGCTTATGTTGTCGCCTCATTACAACCAGAGGTAGCTCTAGAGGTGCGCGATATTTTAATTGCCCCTCCCCAAACAGAGCCGTACAAGATACTAAAAGCAGCACTGGTTAAGCGAACTTCTGTCTCTGAGCAAAAGCGTCTGAACAAATTGCTGACGAGTGAAGAGTTAGGCGATAGGTCGCCCTCCCAACTCCTTAGGAGAATGCAACAATTATTAGGCTCTAATACTTTGGAAACTAGTATACTTAAGCAATTATTTTTGCAACGCCTGCCAACCAATGTACAGTTGATTCTCGCTTCCACAAGCGATGATGTCAGCTTGGTTGCGCTAGCGGCATTAGCCGACAAAATTGTTGAAGTTGCTGGTCCGCCTACTATTTCTCATGTCTTACCTAAAGAAGTGCCAGCGCAGACTTACGCTTGCGCTACTCCCAATGACTCTGGTGAAGTACATCGACTTTCTACCCAGGTTGCTCAACTGGCTGCTCAGGTGCAAGCCTTGACTTGTTCTATACAGGAGGACCGCAGAAGTCGCAGTCGACAGCGAGGCCCGAAGAATTCCGGCCCTCGCCAATCAGTTTCCCGTAGCCCGAGTCGGCATCAACAACATGCTGGGGCTGAATGTTGGTACCACTGGAAGCATGGCAAACGAGCCCAGAAGTGCATAAGTCCTTGTTCATACTCAGCAGGACAAAGCCGCCCTGGATATGTCCAGGGAAACGGGCCCGCCAAGGAATAGCGGCGACTAATTCACTTGGCACCATTCAACCCAGTCGCCTTTTCTTTGTTCATGATAAACAATCAGGCACGCGTTTTCTTGTTGATACTGGGGCGGAAGTTAGTATTTTCCCTCATTCCATGTTAGGAAAATCGGCAATGGTAAGTGCAACAAATATCCAACTTCAAGCTGTTAACAAATCACCCATTAAGACTTTTGGCCAGAGATCTTTCACTCTTGATCTTGGGTTGCGGCGAGTTTTTCGTTGGATTTTTGTTGTCACGGACATACCTACACCTATCTTGGGAGCCGATTTCCTTGATAACTATGGACTATTAGTCGACATCAAACATCGACGGCTGATAGACACCACCACCACTCTTACAGTACAGGGAGTCGGTACATACACAGGCATCATTAGCCCGGTGTATGTCAAGCAAGATACTTCGGAGCGTTTCCACTCCCTTCTTCGTGAGTATCCTGACATCACCCGGCCAGTGTACAAGCACTCAGAAGTCAAGCATACAACCACCCACCATATCCAAACTCGAGGCCCACCTGCTTCAGCTCGCCCTCGTCGGCTTGCTCCAGATCGGCAGCAGATTGCCAAGGCAGAGTTTGAACACATGCTTGAACTCGGCATTATCAGACAATCTGATAGCAACTGGTCAAGTCCCTTGCACATGGTTCCGAAGAAGACACCAGGGGACTGGCGACCTTGTGGAGATTATCGCATGCTTAATGCTCGTACTGTTCCTGATAGATACCCTATTCCTCATTTGCAAGATTTCTCTGCGTCACTTAGTGGCAAGACAATCTTTTCCAAGATTGATCTCATCAGGGCATATCATCAGATCCCAGTCGAGCCTAGCGATATCCACAAGACAGCTATAACCACCCCTTTTGGATTATTCGAGTTTGTTAGGATGCCGTTTGGCCTTCGCAATGCAGCTCAGACATTCCAAAGATTGATGGATGATGTCACTCGCGGTCTTCCTTTCGTCTATGTTTATCTAGACGATATTCTTGTAGCTAGTACTACCAAAGACGAACACGAGACACATCTCCGTTTACTCTTTGACCGCCTGCAAGAGTATGGAATCATTCTCAACCCCGCTAAGTGTCAGTTTGGAGTACCTTTACTGTCCTTTCTAGGGCATAAAGTTGACTCGGAAGGAATACAGCCACTTAGTGACAAGGTGAAGATCATCCGTGATTTTCCGATACCTACATCACTTACCAAACTACGAGAGTTCCTCGGGCTGATCAATTTCTACAGACGGTTCATTCCGCGGTGTGCAGAAGTACTCCAGCCTCTCACGGATCTGTTGAAAAATAGATTGAAGAAGAACCAACCAATCACCCTAGGTGAACAAGAACTTTCTGCTTTCAATCAGGCTAAAGATCAGTTAGCTAACGCTGCCGTTTTAGTTCATCCTAGAATTGATGTTCCTCTATGCCTGTTGGTTGATGCATCTGATGTGGGAGTTGGGGGAACTATCCAGCAGCTGGTAGATGGTATTTGGCAACCGTTGGCTTTCTTTTCTAAGAGACTACAGCCTGCCGAGACTAAGTACAGCACTTTCGGTCGGGAACTGTTAGCAGCCTACCTCGGTGTAAAGCACTTTCGACATCTACTTGAAGGTCGCACATTTACCATCTACACGGATCACAAACCTCTCACCCATGCTTTGAATTCAAAGCCTGACCGACACTCACCTCGTGAAATCCGCCAGCTTGATTTCATATCCCAATACACATCTGAGATACACCACATAGCAGGAAGGGAGAACACAGCAGCAGATGCTCTCTCCCGTCTGTGTATCGACAGAGTTGATTCATCCTCGGTCATAGATTTTGCAGCCATTGCGAAAGATCAAGAGGATGATAGTGAAGTACAGGACTCCTCGCTTCAGCTCAAGTCTATATCGCTTCCTGGTTCTCTTACTACCATGCTATGTGATGTTTCGACAGGTGTTGCTAGACCCCTTGTTCCAGTCAAACACAGACGAGCTATTTTTGACGCCCTCCACGGACTATCCCATCCTGGGATCAGGGCCACTCAAAAGCTCATCACGGAACGTTTCGTTTGGCCTGGTATTAATCATGATATCAGGAAATGGGCCAGAACATGTCTTGAATGCCAGAGATGCAAGGTGCATAAACACACAAAAGTTCCACTTGGCACTTTTACCTCACCTGATGCGCGTTTCTCTCATGTGCACATCGATCTTGTAGGCCCACTTCCTACTTCAGAGGGTAACACGTACCTTCTTACTTGTGTGGATCGTTACACCAGATGGCCAGAAGCTATACCTATCCCAGATATCACTGCGGATACTGTAGCACGTACTTTTGTGGCCAGATGGGTAGCGGTGTTTGGTGCTCCAACTACTCTTACTACAGACAGGGGTAGACAATTTGAGTCAGCACTCTTCCTTGCTCTCACTAATCTTCTTGGCACTAAACGCATTCGCACAACAGCATACCATCCAGCAGCCAATGGGCTTGTTGAGCGTTTTCACAGGCAACTCAAAGCCTCTCTCAAGGCGCATAACACAGTCCGTTGGACTGAGGTCCTTCCCTTGGTATTGCTGGGTATACGTACAGCTATCAAGTCTGATCTGGGATGTTCCGCAGCAGAACTCGTTTTTGGTACTACGGTCATGCTACCGGCCCAATTTGTGTCTCCTTCACAGACTGACTCTGCTGGCGATCCAGCTAATTACGCCCACAGACTGAAGAGACTGATGCGTGAATTACATCCCACCCCTACTCGCAAACAACGAGCTACCCCTACACAGGTACACCCAGAGTTGCATTCCTCATCCCACGTCTTTTTGAGGGTTGATGCAGTCAAGGGGCCCCTTCAACCTCCTTACAGGGGGCCTTTTCGAGTCCTTCAACGCTCTGACAAGTTTTTTACCATTGATTACAATGGTAAACGTGAAACTGTCAGTGTTGAGAGACTTAAACCAGCTTTCATGGAGCAAGATCTCCCTGCTCAATCTAAGAAGGGTCAAGATCCACCTATCCAAGTCCCTCGGCAATCCAACTCCGCAGACTTAGCACTGGATCCTGCTCCGTTAGCACTGGATCCTGCTCCGTTAGCACTGGATCCTGCTCCGTTAGCACTGGATCCTGCACTGAAGCAGAACACTCCTGAGATTCGAAAGACCAGGTCTGGTCGTCAAGTTAGATGGCCAGTGAGGTTCGTGGATTTTTTCGAAGTCGGGTGAAGCATATTAACCTTACTGTGTTTCAACAGTATTACCATATTTTCGTATTTTCAAGTCAACATGCATGTAGGTCTATATTTCCTCATCGATTTGTTGCTACTTTTCATTCGACAACAAATCTAGAGGGGAGCTACTGTAGTGACTTGACCTTTGGAGAACTTTGCATTTGTAAATATTATTGTCTTGTCTTTATTGTGTGGCTTGAAGTCTAGCCTTTTATTCCATTGTCACTCATTTCTTTAGTGACACCTGTTGCATTACTAGAGTGCCACAAATACTTACTCTGGCAAGCACATTCCATACCCTATGGGTTGGGATGTGCAACCACCTAATGTACTGGTATAGCTTATACTGTACAGGAACATTACACTTGCTTGCTTTATTTGCCACACCTATTTTGATCACTTCTCCTGAGCTGTTCATATAGAGCACACGTATTCTAGAGAGTCTATCTACAGCAAAGCTAATTCAGCTTCATCTTAATTCTTGTCCTATTTCTTCGCTTGTTTCTCTACTCGGTTCTGAGGCCTTATTACTTTATAGAGATTATAAGTTTCTTCTTCTTTACTTAATTCGCGAAGAAGCGTCATTACTTTGTACATGGTCTTACATATTCTTTCTACGGGTGCTGTGCAATATTTGAACTACTACTTGTGATATAATATATGTTCCAAGTATCTGTACTCAACAGGTGTTTCTACGAGACAAGGTAGGAAAGAAATCTATTTCTATTTCTTTTATTTAGGTGATTTAATTCCCTAAACCATAATATATTTCTATAATATGCATCTAATACTATATAGGTAATATTATTTTGTACCTATAAACTTGTTGCTTTTGCAGGCTGCATTGACATTGTACAGAACAATGAAAGATGAGTTCAGCTCTGAGTGGAGTAGAAGCTTCTGCCATAGGTCTCCTCAAGAGGGCGGTAGAGCAGGATGGTAAAGGCAAGGCACAAGAAGCGTTAGTCTGCTATAAAGAAGGAATTAAACTTCTTATGGAAGTCATGAGAGGTTAGTATGAAATTCATTCTTTGGATTTATTTCGTATATTTAGTATTTCAGATGTATCACTGTTTAGCTCTGGCTAACATAGAATAAATAAATAACTAAACGTAATGAAATTAAAATGGAACCTTGTAGACAGATATTGGAAGTTTTCAATGCTTTTTAATGGGTTGATCACCTGGCTTCTGTTCAACATTATATGATTCAAGAATTTGTATGTGTTAAATTTGCTATTACGTAGTACACACAAGCACATGTATATTAATTATTTTTTTCTCTCTATGAAATCTCACTAAAGTTATATCTTGTGACGTAGTGTTTGAAACACCTATTTGAAATATTGTACTATTTAAAACAATATTAAACAAAGATAGCTTAAGAAAATATCACATGAAATATCTGGAACGAAGATCCTCCACTTTTTACTTCTTTCAATCTGTTATCATTTCCAAATCCACCTCCACCCCACCCTGCCTTTCCCTGCCTCCCTCCCTTACCACCCTCCCTCCCATGATCACTCTCTGTTAGTTGACTTACAAGATTACAGGAAGAGCTCTATAATAGGGATCATCATCATACAACACTTGTGTCATTGTTTACTTTCAATCAACCTTCTCATTTAAAGCTTGAAAAATGAAATACTAGAAGTCTAAAAGCCTTTGTTTATTTCATGTATCAGTCTGTATATATCCAAGTTACACCATAGTTATCTTTTTAATACCTGTAGAGACGACAGACCAGATCAGGAAGCAGGCTTTTAGACAGAAAATTGAGCAGTATATGGAGAGAGCTGAAAAGCTTAAAAACCATGTAGATTCTCAGATTGAAGGTGAGGCATATTTCATAATTTGAACTATTTATAATACATCTTCAAAGGATAGTTCCTCAATGGGTTTTACAGTATTTGTCAACATCATTGAATTCAGAAAAGAATTCTTTACCAAGCATTACCAAAAACTAAAACCGTTGTCAAGGTTTCATAAAAATATATTAACAATGTTATTTCTACTGTGATTTTATTAACAAGTATGCTGCAAGTGTATTTCACCACAACATGACCTCTGACATTCTTAATATTATTTACCTTCTTCAAAGAACAAGAATTTAAAACAAAAGTAACCAGTCTGCTCTTATTGATTTTGGCCAAGGTACAGTTGTAATGATCTTTAAAGTGTACCCTATGTGTTTTGCATACCGGTATTCAAGCACCATCAGCTGTGATTGTTAGAACAAGTACCAGTATTGCATGTTCTTAACTTCTTATAATACTGTTTCTTTTCATTTAGCTGGCAAATATCACCAGGCGATTCAGATCACCAATGATTCAACTGGTCACAGCTATCGTTCCATGTTTACACCTTATCTTGATGAATTGGTTACTGAGGTTCACATTGAAGATCCTTACATCCGCAGCAATCATCAGATATATAACCTTCTCAGATTCTGTGAACTTCTTGTAATGTCTGTCGCACCTGTCAAAAGGATCCATCTGTTAACAGGCAGAGATGAGGTATGTCTGCTTGCTTTTAATTTGGAAGTTGTACCCTGAAAATAAATTTCAATTTCAAGTTCAAGTTCAAAGTAATCCACATCCATTTGTCATGTTTCTGCAATAGTGAGATATTTGTCACCCCAATTCTAAACAGATATTTCAATTTTTCTTTTTGTTTAAAAATGGAGGGGTAAACAAGGGAGTGCTTATAGTCAACAATCTGAATACCGGTATGTGTAAACAAATGTTTTTGTAACCGTCTGCTGAGAGCCAGAAGGGTGATTAGTCATTACTCTCACACAGTGTTAATGTTCCTCTGGCTCTAAGCACATGGTATCATAAATTGTACATATTTCTGTATAAGATATGATGGGAAAAAAATGAATCTTAAAAAAGAAAATTGTCACATGTATTGAAAATGTGCATTTAATGTAACATGTTATTCTTCATAGTGTATTACCATTAAAGCCCCACTGCACTACTTGCGCCCTTTATGTAACAAACACTAAGTACCGAATCGGTGACCATTGGTCCCCCATGAGCCGCTTTTTCTTATGTTGATTGAGAGCTGATTTAATAAGGTAACCACCTATTGGTGTCCTTGGTGGGAGGTGTAATCCCTCCTGGCCAAACTAGTTCAGAGTGGCTTTAATTATGAAATGCCTAAACTATAGAAATAAAACGCATAGAATATATTTCTTTTTACCAGAACGTACATCTACAGCACAATAAGCTTGGTGAGTTGCAAAGAAGTCTTGCTGAGCATAGTGTAGAGATGATAGTCTCATATTCAGACACACTTCATGATAGAGTGGTCAGGTAAGAAGCTGTTATTCATGAAGGTTTTGTTTTTGAATGGCTAGCTATTAAAGGTATTGTTTCCTAAAGAACTAGCTATTGAAGGTGTTGTTTACTAAATGGCTAGCTACTGAAGGTTTTGTTTCCTAAAGAGCTAGCTATTGAAGGTATTGTTTACTAAATGGCTAGCTACTGAATGTTTTGTTACTGAATGGCTATAGCTACTGAATGTATTGTTTACCAAATGGCTTGCTACTGAAGGTATTGTTTACTAAATGGCTAGCTATGGAAGGTTTTGTTTCCTAAAGAGCTAGCTATTGAAGGTTTTGTTTTTGAATGGCTTGCTACGGAATGTTTTGTTACTGAGTGGCTAGCTACTGAATGTATTGTTTACTAAATGGCTAGCTACTGAAGGTATTGTTTACTAAAAGGCTAGCTACTGAAGGTATTATTTACTAAATGGCTAACTCCTGAAGATATTATTTACCAAATGGCTTGCTGATATGTGTCACTAAATGCAACATAATTTCAATTTCGTGATATTTGTTTTAGTTTTTGCTTTCGTTTATTGTTATTTATATTTGACAGGATCAGAAGTAGGTGTATTCTTGTTTAAATTTGATTGAGTGTGTAACATTTATAATTGTATAATTATATATTTATAATAGTGCTGTTCTACATAAGTATATATATATATATATATATATATATATATATATATATATATATATACTAGATATATGATGTGAAATACTACTGTATCTCTGCTTACATACATGTATGTATCTCACTTTCTCATCTCACACTCTCGCAGGTTTAATAATGGTTGGATCATCAAGATTGGACGAGGTTTAGATTATTTCAAGAGGACCGGTCAGTATAGCATCGGATTCTGTGATATGGATCTAAGACGATGTCATGAAACTACAGTAGATGTCTTCCATAGCAAGCATACAAAAGACGGATGACATAAGGGTAAAGGATCAGAACAAATATTAAAATATAGATTACAAAGGAATGGTCTGTAAAGAGCCAGAAGGGCACTCACTCTGTGGTACGGGATATGAACTAATGCCCTTTTAGCTCTCATCATAGCAGGCATACTAAAGATACGTGACACCCAAAATGGTTGTCTGATACTTAAAGGGATCGTTTACCAATGTTAAATCTCGGCCCTACGTGTCATCAGTGTCTGTGGTATGGTGTAATATTGAAGCCCTAAAATAATCACGCTTCAAAATGATCAAGAAGTGCCTCAAAAAAGTAAAAATCTTTGAGTGACCGGTTTTACCATACTCGTTTTCCCCAATAGACTGTAGTGTTATGAAAACCGTTCAGCGAACGGTTTTCAAAATTTGTAATTCCAATCATAAATATCTTGATAATCAGGCAGGCGATCGGCTTGTAAAAGTCATGGATTTCCTGACTGACCTAAAGGTTCATAATTATCATTACAGCATGAGCTAAATCCAGGATTTTGTTTCAGAATCTGAGACAAAGTTACAGGATCCCTTTAAGAGCCTAAAGGCGTTGGCTCGCTCTCATTCATTGATCTTCCCTCTCATGGGATGGAGCACCCTAACACTGAGCAAAGGCTGATGTCCATAGGGGTCCACTCTGTGTGAATGGAGATGATTAAACACCTGCTGGCTCACAGCAGATGTCGTATCAAGTATCCGAATGATAGATGACACGGAGTAAGAGGGAGCTATTTATGCAATGACTTCATGGTCAACGTAATGATGATGATGGATGATCTTGTGGAGCAACTCGGCTGGCCCTCAGGGTCAATGATAAATGAGACTATTAGGATATATCTAATTGGTCTGACCATGTCAAATATATATCTAAAACTATTTCATGCAGTGTTGGGGTTCTGTCTAAATTGAAATATTACCTACCATTACACATTTCATTCATACTGTATACCGGGTAATACTATGTTGCTACCATTTATAACATATAACATACTGTACTGTGATATGGGCGAATTTCCAAATGTCTAAACGATTCAATTCTAAGATATCAAAAAAGGTGAAACGTATTTGTACTGGTTTTCACTATATAGATCACAGCGCCCCCTTGTTTTTTAAATTGAATACCCTCAAAATTTAAGATATTAACTTTTTACAGACTACACTCTTTATGTTTCATCATTACCATGGCCAATTGTCTCCAGTTCTAACTACCCTTTCTATAGACAAACAAAGATGTACATTCTTATCCATCAAATGTTCATAGTCGCCCGAACATATAGAATTCCATGCCTTTGGATCAAATGAATATTCACTCAGAGTTTGCTTTCAAAGTAGCAGTGAAAAAATGTTGTTCTCTTAATATACTGTTTAATCATGAATGTTTATGGCTGCTTTTATTAGCATGAAATGTGCAATCATCTGTAACTCTTCTCACTTCAACCCCCCCTCCCTCTATATCTTCCTCTCTCCCCCCCCCCCTCCTCCCCCCCCCCCTCTCTCTCTCTCTCTCTCTCTCTCTCTCTCTCTCTCTCTCTACCTATCATTCTTCTCTTCTCTTTGATATACCTTTGAATCACTAGGAACCCCCTATTTCATGTATTTTGCTTTAATTTATACATGTACATGTACTTAATTGTCAGGGCCCACAAGGCATAAAGCTTTGCCTTTTTTTGAGCCATGGCCAGTTCTGTTTGAAGAAAAAAAAATATTTACATGTTTGTTTGAATGTATACTGATTTTATTATGTACCGGTATTCAGAACTGAAAAATAAAATAAAAACATTAGAATGAAAGATAATTAATTCTTAATGAAAGTAGTGAACTGATATACAAAAATCTAATAAAGACAAATAATTTATGTTAAGTAGTTAGACCATATAGTCCATTTCAAATGAGAAGATGATAAAACTTCAGGATCCAATAAAACCACTAAGCCATATGATTAATAAGAAAGCTAGGCAACCCTGCATCATCTACCGAGCTACTGAAATCACGTATACAGAGTTGATGCCTTACTAGCTTCCAACAGAGGATATTATGATTAATATATTGTTATAGAATCAGTGAGTTGTCATAGTGGTTTGTTTTTTTGGTATTAGATGTGAAGGTCATGGGGTCAAGCCATGGCACAATGAAGCAAATGATTTAGTGTCATTGTCTCCATGCGTAAAACAAAGTTCATATTCAGAGTCAGAAGATGAGCCACAGAACCTCTTTTGTTTTCAAAGAAGGTTGTACACAAGTGACCTATGTAACACAGCCTATTCCAATAGTGGATTTGTCACATGAGAGGATCAACTAGAATGTTGTTGTTTAAAGGATCAAGTAGATTATGTTGAATTATGTAGGAATTGCACGATATAAACAACTCTATGTACCAGTACTATACATTTTCTATCCATCATTTTGTACATATATATGTCCCAAAATAATAGTAGGAACATTTTTTGAAGAATCAAGTAGACCATGTTGATTTATGTACGAGTTGCACGATATAAACAACTCTATGTACCAGTACTATACATTTTCTAACCATCATTTTGTACATATATATGTCCCCAAATACTAGTAAGAACATTCTGTGAGATTTCACATGATTTTGTTGATATGAGAACATATACGGTACAGCTTTCTTTTGGAAGATTGTACACTTGTGTAACCTAACAAGGACATTCCTGTGGTGGTACAGTCAAACCTGTCTATAGCGACCGCCCAAGGGAAACACAAAAAGTGGCCTTTTTAGGCAGGTTCCTTTAGTACATGATTCAATGAGAAACCATTTTCAAGGAAAACACAAAAAGTGGTCTTTGTAGACAGGTGGTCTTTGTAGACAGGTTCCTTTAGTACATGATTCAATGAGAAACCATTTTCAAGGGAAACAACAAATGTGGCCTGTGTAGACAGGTGGTCTTTGTAGACAGGTGGTCACTAAAGCAGGTTTGACTGTATTCTGAAAACTAATCTTCACCAGTAAGGGCAATGTTACTTGTCATCTAAGTTAGGCAAGTTGCTGGTTAATTTCTGCGCATAGCTGGCTGCGGATGTGCTAGTTTTAAAGAGACATCAATCATAATAATAATAATAATAATAATTTTGTTTACCCAAGGAGGCCTCATCAGAAGCAGAGCTGTCCTTCCTGAGGGCCCTGCAATTGCCAGGTACCCATATACACCAGGATGGAGAGTGGTAAATGTGGATTATGTCTTGCCAAAAGACGTCGGTGCCGGGCTGAGATTCGAACCCTCAACCCTTATGACCCGGTCACATATAGACGACGCACTTACCGGTGCATTGAAAATCTGAAAAAAGTTGTGAGCCTGACTTTTGTCAGGATTTGGGAGAACCTAGCGAGCTGACACTGAATGCATAGCGTGTTGCTAGCGCGCTTCGCGTATACAGGGCGTGTGCTCTGTGTATGTCCGGCGTTGGTCTATCGCTGATCTAGCGTGCTCCGCGCATGTCTGGCGTCCTTTTGGTGTTTACATTCATGCGTAAAATCCCGACGCACACAGCGAATGACGACAAATGCATAGCGTTGGTCCAGCGTTGGTCCAGCGCGCTCGACGAACGAGTAACAAATGATGACGCACACCTAGCGAACGACAACGCACTGGCCAAAATTGCAAATTTCCAATGCGCTGACCGTGCGTCCCCATGCGTGCCCTATGTGTGACCGGGCCTTTAGATTGAGAGTCAAGTTAATGAACAACTATACCAAGATCAAGCACCAGTACATGTTTATTATGTGCAATTTCAATTTAATTCAATAAACATACCTCGTAGTTTTACTAACATAAAGATAATACAGTTTTCAGACTACCACCCCCCCCCTGTTTATTTGTATCATTTTCATAATGGATACCATCATATACTACTGCCATTTTTCTTTTTAAATTGTATAAATATTATTTGCACCTTGGCGCTGTATAGTTATTGGTATTTATTTAAATTCCACATTGCAGCCCAAGGGCTTAATAATGTTGAGTATACTACTAATATGATGAAGAGAAAGAGAGAGAGGGAGAGAGAGAGAGAGAGAGAGAGAGAGAGAGAGGGGGGGGGGAGGGGGTGGGGGGAGGGGGGAGGGAGAAACGAGACAGAAAGGAGAGAACAAGAAACAAAAATATAGAGGCAGATCCAACCATTATTAAACCTGTGAGAGTGTGGGGTGAGGGAGTGAGATACATACATGTAAGGAGAGATACAGTAGTATTTCACATCATATATCTAGTATATAGTAGGAAGCAGAGATTATAAATTGCATAATAAACTGAGTGGATTGATTAACTAAATAATCAACTGTTTCGTCCCTCGGCACAACAGATGATTACACCTTTATAATCTGCAATAATAATAATAATAATAATAATAGCTTGTTCTTATACAGCGCTTTTCAGGACCGAAGGCCCTCTCAAAGCACTGAAAATACTGAAAATATAAGAAGAGTGACATATTTGTGGATTAAGGTGTCACAAACCTGTACATGTATGTAGAATAGTTATTGTAATAGATTCTGATTTGAAGTATCCTAAAAAATCAAATCCATGTGCCATGTATTAAGATGTTATTTGTACTGAAAGAAATTATGTAATTTTAGAAATCATTTGTACAGATTATTTATTTTTATGCAAGTATTGAGATCAGTAAAATAAATTTATTGCAAAATCTTAAATGTTGAATTATGATTTCCTATTTTATGTGTCCTTTATAGTAGTCTACTATTATTGCTTATGTTGTTGCTATGGTTTTTGTATTGCTATTTGATATAAATTCAAGGAATCTCTGACCAAAAAGTTCTTCAAAAGTGACAAAAACATACAGTACCCCCCGGTAGCTGCTTGAAGGGCTGGCCAGACTTCACTGATAATGAATATAGAATACATGTATTTTCAATTAAAGGTTTATCCTACTACATGTACATACTGTAGGATGTACCTATAATGAAAAATCTTGTTATTGTTATCATTATTGGTGAGGTCTGACCTACTATTAAAGGGACTTAGTAACATTGTTCAAATGAGAGAAAATGGTGCTACGGAAGTGACTTCAATTAAAGAGAATCTGGAAATTTGAGTGAAAACAGACCATTAGGATTATAAAAAAAAAAGAAAGTTGTATTGCCTTTTAGGTGCCAAAACATAGGTCATTCAATTGGAAATCTTTTTTCTCTTTTTTTTTTACTTTGTCTTTTTTCCTACCTCTTTGGGCTGATATTTCTCAGTTTTGAATGCTTTAATATTTGTTTTGGTCTAAAAAACAATAAAAAAAGGATGCCTCATTAATGATAAAAATTGTGAAAAACCGATCTGATCGATTCCTGATGTCTTATTTTCATGGAAAAAAGGTTGAAAAAATTCAAATATGGTTGGGAGAATTTACTGTTAGAGGGTGCTGCACATTGACACCTTCAAATGAAACCATAAATATCTTTGTGGTTTGAGAATTTTTTCAGGATTTTTTGCATGTTAAAGGGTTAGAACAGTAGAAGGAATATAAGTAGCATTTCATACCAAAATTACACAATTTTTTCATCAACCTTCAACAATGTTACCGAGGCACCTTTTAGCAGTAACACATGTAATAAATGTAATTTTAAACTGCTCTCTCTTTTTATCTCTCTCTCTCTCTCTCTATCCAACCTTTCTTAACTGTGACATTCATCTATCATCTTCTTTTCCTCAACTCTTTCCATTCCTCTTTTACCCTCCCTGTTTTAACACTTTCCTTCTCTCCCTCCCCCTCTCTCTATCTCTCTCTCTCTCTCTAATCCTCTACAGTAGATGGAATATAATAAGTAGCATTTCATACCAAACTTACACAATTTTTTCATCAAACTTCAACAATATTACAGAGTCACTTTAAGTAGTAACACATGTAATAAATGTAATTTTAAACTGCTCTCTCTTTTTAGCTCGGTCTCTGTCTCTCTCTCTATCCAACCTTTCTTTCACTGTGACATCAATCTACCATCTTATATATACAGGTATATATATATATATATGTAAGGCCCTGGAAAATAGGCCTCCCTCAAAATTTTGTATACATATATCCTATTTGTATTGTCATATATTTTATACACCAGTATCTTAAAAAGTTTGCACATTCTTCACTGCTTGCTGCAAAGATGCAGAAACCCAACCCCTGTTTCCAAGAAGTGGTGACTCATATTTCGCCCTCTCCCCAAAACGAAACCAAATCGAAGGCGTTGGTCATGTCAGTGGTTTCTGCCTGATAGCATCAGTTCTATATACCTGATGCTTCACAGGAAACACTTATTCTGACCAGCCTCTTCATTTCTTTTTCAGGTAAGAAATTACAACTTTTAATCTCTTTCAATTCTGTCTGTCTAAGTTAATTATAATTGTTCAATTCATATATTACATTGTTATTAGTGATATTAGAACCAATTAAGTCTATTTTATCAAACCAGACTTATCATGAGAGATGCAGGCTTAACATAGGTATCTACGTGACATATATCTATTGTATGGTGTTAGTTATGTTTATGAAGCATTTAGATTATATAATGGTCGTATTATTATGTAGTAGAAGTAGTAAATCTTTATATATTCATACTAAGTCAGGTTAAACCAACTAGTGTAAGGTTTTAATTTCACTGATCAAAGTGGTTACTTGTTTATTTCACACTGTACATTTAGTTTTCCACTCCGATATGCTTTAGCGCACTCCTGACCTACATTCATTCTCTCCTGTCTGCTAGCTCTTGGCTTCTATTGTTCTGTCCCTATTCATTCATCCTCATGCACATTACCTGCTATAGCACCACACACACACACACTCTTCCTTATCTCTTAGCTATTCAACCCAGCACACATGGCACATGGCACTCTATCTTTTACAAGCTTTTCTATTGGTTACCTATTTATTGTCCAATCTTGTGATTGGTTATTATTGTTTGATGGACTGCATGTCAGCCATCTTGGCAGCCATTTTGTGGTTGGAATAAAATCTAATAGTGCAGCTCAAGTCCTCAACCATGTGAGACCACTTTTGTTTTGTGTGGGACTTTACAACTGGTGCCAGCAGTGGTTTTTCTGCACTAAACTGTAATTGCAGCCTTCCTTCATATGTAGAAATTCCTGCAGTGTTTTTAGTGGTGAGTTGCAAAGTGAAATTCTCCCTCCATCTGTATATGAATGTGAATGTTTGAGAGCATATATCACCCTTCTTCTCACTGATTGACCTCCCTTCATTTTAAGCTGAGGCAGCTAGTGTTTGTGTGTATTCAACCTCCTTCATTAATTACTGAAGTTTCATCTTGACTTTTTGAGCCTTGATTTCTTCCTACATCAGTAGTTTTTGTGAATTCCTACATTCATCCTACATCAGTAAGTGAGATTTCCTTTACCCTTCTTCATACTGGAGCTGTATTTTGGTGAATATTTTTCCCGTCTAAACATTAAAAACTTCGTCAGTGAGTGAGGTTTTTTTTCTTCACCCTCCATACAGTTCTGTATTTTTCTAGCAACTTATCACATTCAGTCTGCATGTATGCCGTAGTCTGCCTTTGGCTGCCGTACATTACAGCATTCTGCCATATCAACCTGCATATTCTACATAGTGTTGGCGTAGCAACGTAACCAGTTGCAGAATACACCCTCCTTCCATCATAGCCGCTCGCCACAGATATTTTAACTGTTGAGTTTGCATTTTCTTCATCTGCACTCAGAGTGACCCCACCCCCCCCCCCCTCACATTGACTCATTCAGTAAGTTTTACTGGGTTGATATCTTGTTGATGATCATATCTGTTGAGTCGATTGCTTATAACTCCTACAGTATGGCATCTTATCGCATGGAATTGCCAGAAGTGTTTACGGGAGAGAACGGCGAAGACTTCCGTCAATGGATACGTCGATTTGAAGTTGCTGCACAGGCGTTTTCGGACACTTCTATCAACTTAACCACCCTCCTTCCGGCAAGACTAGCAGGATCAGCCTTCATCGTGTGGGAGAGCTTGTCTGCTTCGGACAAGAAGGATTTCAAGAAGATGAAAGAGAAAATCTCTCAGGTTTTCGGCCGGACACAGTTTATTGACACATTCAAGTCTTGTATTACAGCCCGGACTCGCCAACCAGGTGAGCCTTTAGAAGTGTTTGCATCAGCCATTGCTTCCTTAGTAGAAGAGGCTTTCCCATCTTATGATGACAATGCAAAAGGTGGTGAGAGATTTCGACGATTTGTTGCCGGGGTAGACAAACCGCTTCAAGTTAAGATTCACGAGCTCGGAGGCTTTGATTTTGACGAGGCCTTGAAGATCGCACTTCGTGTAGAAAGAGCACACCAAGCACACGATTTTGGTATAGTAGCAGCTGTAGATGATCGGGTCCAGGACAAGACGCCTGCAGAATCATCAGTCTTACGACTACTACTGCCAAGACTCAACGAGTTAGAAAAGAAGCTGGATAGGATGTCCTTAAAGTTAGAGACAGTTGAAAGGCCTAGCAGATCTCAGCAACGTGGTGGCAGCCCATCAGGACGCTCCCATGAGGGAAGACACATGGAACG